CATAAATCATTTTACACCGTTAAAAATTTAAAATTTCTTTGGGTATATAAAGACCATTATTTGTCCCTTATTATTCTATTGACTTTAAAATACAGACTTGACATTTAATATGGAATATTTTTTTCCAAATCACTTTTCATCAATTTTTTCCTATTTAACTGACTGATAAATGAAAATAGGGATTAATATCGTGTTTTAATGACTTTAAATAATCTCTTCAATGTCATTGTGACATCAGTTCATTAATTGAATTCGCCCGTGAAGCAAACAAAAATACATTGCCTATTTTATGTCATACAATAACCATTAAAATCGGTATTTTGGATCTCCATATTTTACAAATTATCGTCTGTAAAAGATTTACACGCCCCACAAAGGACCCTCATGTCAGTGTCTAATCACAGCAACGGTCGCTGTTACGTCTGACTTGGTCTAGCTGCTTCCAGGTCTCTCAAGCGGCAAGGCATTTCTTGGGATAGTTTTTTAGAGTTCAATCTGGAATAACATTCCAGGCATTGGTCAAAACCTGTCCAATTTGGTTCAGTTTTGTCGCACGACATGTAGGCCGTTGGTTCGGCTAGTAATGGCCTACCCACATATTGTCTATGTGGTTCAAATTTGGCAATATTGATGACCAAGGTTGCTGCTCATTCTGCTGGTTCTGTAAGTTATCTGCTAATAAAAGTGCTCTGTGTGAACCGGCACTTTCACCGTGCTACCTAAAATTGTTCCTAAGGCGCCCCCTATCAAATGATAGTCAAGTGGTTCCCAGATTATTCCTTTATTTGATCTGGTTCAGGTTTTCATAGATGACTACTATTGGTGTTTTGGCACCAATGTGGTATCCAGTCCAAATACTGACGCTGTCAATGACCCTAGTCACTTTATAGACTCAACACACACTTCATCATAGGCCTCTTATGGATGTCTGTAAACTCTGTTTTGACTAGTTGAGCGGTACAGGTGAAATCTGACCTCAGTAAAGAAAGCCACGCGATTTCAGTTTTCTACCCAGAAACGGTCATGGTCCCCAGTTCATTAAAGAAACAGACGACGCTGTTTTGCCGTTTACAGTGGGTTCCCCGGAGGTCGTCTGGTATTCTAACCTGCTAAAACAAGTTTGTTGTTCGATAAGGGCCTTGAAAAACGCGTTTTGACAGCAATTTACCCCTCATTCTGAACGGACTGGGTGTGAGTCCTGTACCCTGGTGGGAAGATTTTGATACATTGGGTGTGGCCTCTGTGTAGGTACATCAGTCTGGGCATTACTCTATAAAACTGTGCGGACCGTTCTGTTTGGTGCAATAATCTGTCTGGCAATGTCTGTCTTTTTAGCACCATTCTACCACGGATAATTTTTTTTTATAAATCACCACTTAGTTCTTTTTACGCACTGCAAAACCGACCGCTTGCATGCAAAATTTCAAATTTTTTTATGCAATAGTTGCCGACATATAGATACTTTTTTGACAGAACCATGCTTTGGCACTCCCAAGCATGAACGAGTCCAAAGGAGCACTACCCAATTAAATCATTGCATAATACACAATACAGCAGTGCAATAGACATGGTAGTCAGTTCATTAGTAGCGACACACCTGACTACACACTTCTCCATTCACATATCTTATATGAGATCGGATTTTTTTTGAAAAAAGAATGCATTTTACCAAGGCATACCTTCGAAACTAAAATATTCCATATTAAATGTCAAGTCTGTATAATAACATGGATTCATTTTGTTTTTTCAGAACCTGGTCGTTAACCATGGCAAACGCTTTGGGAATGCCCTCAGAAATCCCACGAAATGAAAGGGAAAATTATTTTCGCATGCGGTTGCTCTTAGAACGTGCAACTGACGTACTTCGAAATGTTCTCAGGACTCAGCTACAAGCAGCCTATCCAGGACTATCTGATCCCAGTAAAACTGACAATCTTTTTGACGTGCTTGACAATCAACAAGTCAAACATACCTTACTGCTATTGAAAAAGAGAAATGTAATGAACTCGAGTCAAATAAAACTACTGTATCCCTCTGGCACCCCTTCAACAACTGTGACATTGCAGGATTTAGACATTACACTTTTAGTTGTTTTATTAAGAAACATCACCAATCTGAACCCTCATGCTAAATGGGAAAACCCACCAGTGTCCGACACTTCAATAGAGGCCAACATTGGTAGATTGAAGACCTACCGTAATCATCTCTCGCATGGACATCGTCTTGGCATCACTGACACGGCATTTCAGGCAGAGTTTAATTCACTCAAGCACGTCCTGTTGTCACTGTCATCAAAATATACCAGCAATGACTTCGACAAGCTTCTTATTGAGCCACTGGAGGCTAAAGGTAATTAATTTATATAAAGCAGCAGTTCATGAGAAATTTCAGAAGCTTATTTCACGTAGTTAAATATTTACGGGTTTATACAAGTGTTGAATATGGTCCACTATAAAGCGTCTTGGTCAATCATATGCGTGGTAAAAGTTACGTATGGTAAAAATTATTTGGTGGATCACCCATAATTTGAATACAGTCAGGATCGTCAGACAAAACATTTATTGTTAATATTTATTGAAACCCGAAAATTGCGAAATACATATCAGCCAATCCAAGAAAAGGTTCCAAGTACAAATATAACTGACGCAGCTTATTCTCAGTTAGAAGTTAGTATAAATTTTGTGTAATTTAGTGTTACGATATCACATGTGTTTCGCATAAAAGAACAATTATTCACATATTTGCACTCACCTTCTTTGCTCTTGATTAATTTGCATTTATGTTTTTTTCTTATATAACGTTCGTTTATCTTTTATGTACGTTAGTCATGGCTTCGTCGTAGTTACATCATATATATATATATCGCAAAATGGATGATACACATTGTCTTGCAGTATGACCCACTATGGTGTAAATGTATGGACATTTCTTTTAATGATTTTTAATAATTTATAATATTAGCATTACAGATTTTTGACCAGTCCATCTTAAAAACAACAAAATTTGGATAGTCTTTTCGTTCTTTACTCGAATTGTGTCAATGTTCTATCAATTATAAAAAAATAACAGTAGGAAGATAAATACAGTACCAAGATGATTATTGTTACAATTATTCTCTCCATCTAACATTTTTTTCAGTTGCCCCATGTCAGCTCCTCTCAGTACAGCTACCAGGAAAACGTGCTGACCTTAAAGGCCGTGAAGACTTGGTGCAACGAATACAGCAGCACATTGCAGGTGAAATCCGACTTGTTCTTCTAACTGGGATGGGGGGCATTGGGAAGACATCGGTGGCTATCGAAGTCGGGCAGCGTGAGCAAAATGTTCTGTACATTGATATGAGACAAGTCACCAACCTTGAATCTGTGAAGTTATCTCTAGTTCAGCACTACCACCCAACACGACCCCTGAAAGATTTATACAGTGACTTTCAAAACATATTCATACAAACTTTGTCTTGTTTAACCTCAGACCAGGTTATAATTTTTGATAACAATGATGAGGTCATTAAGTCAAATCTGCAAGAATTCCACAACTTGGTCCAAGATATTTTGAATACAACAAAGCATATCACATTACTGTGTACCAGTCGCGAAACATTCAGTCTCATGTCGCATGACATGACGGTCGTGGACGTACCTGCCCTTGATAAGGACCCCTCCATTGATATCCTTTGGGCAGGAAAAAACACTAGTCCCACCGACAGCGAGTCAATTGTGTTAAGTGAAATAGCAGAAAAATGTGGGGCAAATCCCCTTGCACTGAAATTATTATCAGTTCAACTCAAGAAAAAAACTGCGCAAAAATTATTGGACAGGATGAACAAAAATATCATTGAATGCTTGAATGTACCAAATCTTCCAGCTTCTCAAGAAATGATGGCATGCCTGGATATGTCTTACGAAGCACTGAATAATGAAGAACAGAAATTGTTTCGAGCGTTACATATATTTCCAGTTTCAATTTCCTTGCAAGAAATTTCAGAAATGTTAGATAAAGATGAGGATGAATGTGAATCTATCCTTGACAGTCTTTGTAACAAATCCCTCTTAAGTGTAGACTCACGTGTGTATGATCTCCATTCCTTATTAAGAGCTTATGCAGAGTTTCAAGCACAAAAATATCGAAATGAAATAGCTCACATACAAGATGCATACTGTAAACATTATGTGAATCAGGTCCCTCTTCTGTTATCCGAATTTTATACCCTTTCGTCCAAGGAAACGTATGAAAAAGCCCAAACAATTCTGCCACATCTGAAGGTTATAGCTAGTTTGCTGTCAGATCAACTTGGCAACAAAACGCTGCATGATAAGGACATGGCATTAAAAAAATGGAAAACTCTGTACTTAATTGCAGGTGTATTTCAAAACTTTTTCTTGTACCCTGAAGCCTTAACGATACTGAAAAAATTGAAAATATTGGATGAAAAATATTTCCTATCTGAACAAATTGCTCCATCTTTCTATGGCATGATTGGAGATGTGCTGCATGCTATGGGAAAGTACAATGAAGCACTCACATATCACATGACATATCTTGACATCAGGAAAGCAAGACTTGGTGAAAAACACCCGAAAACTGCATGGGCATACAATGATGCTGGTGGCACACTATTTGACCTGGGTAAGTACCCAGAGGCACTTACATATTATAAAAAATATCCTGAAATTCAGAAAGAAATACTTGGCGAGGAACACCCTGATACTGGTAGCACATACGAGAAAATTGGTAATGTACTATCTCAGATGGGTGACTACCTAGAGGCACTTACATATTATGACAAATCACTTAAAATCCAGAAAGAAATACATGGTGAAAGACATCCTGAGACTGGCAGGACATACCATAATATTGGCAATGCACTACAAGGCATGGGTTAGCACGCAGATGCACTTACATATTATGAGAAATATCTTGAAATCATTAAAGAAATATTTGGTGAAAATCATCCCAATATTGGTAATGCATACCAGAATATTGGCACTACGCTACGTAAAATGGGTAAGAATTTAGAGGCATTCAAATATTTTGAGAAATCTCTTGAAACTATAAAAGAAATACTTGGTGAGAAACACCCTTATACTGCCAAGGCATACATTAATATTGGCAATGCATTGCGCGAGATGAGTAAGTACTCAGAGGCACTTACATATTATGAGAAATCTCTTGTCATCCAGAAAAAAAACCTTGGTGAGAAACACCTTGATGCTGCAGTGACAAACTATTGTATTGGCAGTACACTATATGACATGGGTAAGTACCCAGAGGCACTTCCATATTTTGAGAAATCTTTCGAAGTCAGGAAAGAATTACTTGGTGAGAAACACCCTGATACTGGTATGACATACCAAAGTATTGGCAGCGCTCTTTATCAGATGCATAAGTATGCAAATGCACTTACATTTTATGAGAAATATCTTGTAATCCAGACAGGCATACATGGTGAGAAACACCCTGATACTGCTACGGCATACCAGAACATTGGCAGTGCGTTATGTGGCATGGGTAAGTACACAGAGGCACTTACATATTATAAGAAATCTCTTGGAATCAGGAAAAAAATCAATGGTGAGAAACACCTTGATGCTGCAGTGACAAACTATAATATTGGCAGTACACTATGTGACATGGGTAAGTACCCAGAGGCACTTCCATATTTTGAGAAATCTTTCGAAGTCAGGAAAGAATTACTTGGTGAGAAACACCCTGATACTGGTATGACATACCAAAGAATTGGCAGTGCTCTTTATCAGATGGATAAGTATGCAAATGCACCTACTTTTTATGAGAAATATCTTGTAATCCGGATAGAAGTACATGGTGAGAAACACCCTGATACTGCTACGGCATACCAGATCATTGGCAGTGTGCTAGGTTGCATGAGTAAGTACCCAGAGGCACTTACATATTTTAAAAAATCTCTTGAAGTCCGGAAAGAAGTACTTGGTGAGAAACACCCTGATACTGCTACAGCATACCAGAACATTGGCAGTGTGCTAGGTTGCATGAGTAAGTACCCAGAGGCACTTACATATTTTAAAAAATCTCTTGAAGTCCGGAAAGAAGTACTTGGTGAGAAACACCCTGATACTGCTACAGCATACCAGAACATTGGCAGTGTGCTAGGTTGCATGAGTAAGTACCCAGAGGCACTTACATATTTTAAAAAATCTCTTGAAGTCCGGAAAGAAGTACTTGGTGAGAAACACCCTGATACTGCTACAGCATACCAGAACATTGGCATTGTGTTAGATTGCATGAGTAAGTACACAGAGGCACTTACATTTTATGAAAATTCTCTTGACGTCCGGAAAGAAGTACTTGGCGAGAAACACCCTGATACTGCTACGGCATACCAGAACATTGGCAGTGTGCTATGTGACATGGGTAAGTACGCAGAGGCACTTACATTTTATGAAAAATCTCTTGACGTCCGGAAAGAAGTACTTGGTGAGAAACACCCTGATACTGCTACGGCATACCAGAACATTGGCAGGGTACTATGTGACATGGGTGTGAACGCAGAGGCACTTACATTTTATGAAAAATCTCTTGAAGTCCGGAAAGAAGTACTTGGTGAAAAACACCCTGATACTTTTCGGACATACCTTCGTATTGGCAAGGCTCTTCAGCTGATGAATGAGCTTGCAAAGGCAATTACATATTATGATAAATATATCGAGGTCTCTAAAGAGCGTTATGGTGCCATGGATTCTGAAACCAGGGGTCTTGAATGTTTAGTAACTTATGGAAAAATACACATATTAACACTGGTCATCATGAATATGAGCAAATTCATTGCCACTAAATTGATTGTTAAGGGGGAATATAGTCAGGGTTGTAGATTCTTAAGTTTTATTGGCTGGAATTTTAAGTTCTATTACAAATTTTAGAAACAGAGGTCTACCCTATGTTTCGCGTGAATGATGCCAATAGTTTTGAGCCTTGTCATCACGATAGCTCTCATATGCATGATTCTAAGATCTTCAGGCATCTCATCTGAACACAAAGTGGGACATAATCTTTCGACTTTCCTTCGGTCTTCATCTCTATATCACTGGCCAGTCAGATTTGCACCAATTATCGTGTGTTCTGTCTGGAAATAGCCCCTTAAGTCCACTCAAACAATAACACTGAGCCAATGGCAACGGTCAAAACAAAAAAAAATGTGTTTTTCTTTTCTGGCACGTGCATTATATATCATGTGATATCTCCATAAGGCTTTATTAACTTTCCAGTTCAAACCCATAGTTCATCCACATATCTGTATTGTGTGATATGTCCTCAGGATTTGCCAAGATTCCCAGTCTATATACAGGCATACTGACCTACCCTTACCTTCGCATATACGTGTTTTTATGACTTTACATGTATCACTTACTAAGGCAAAACCACAGTTTCACATTCATCCTCAACTGTGCTTGAGATTTACTTCATATAATTTCAAAGGTATTAAATGTAACCGCCTCAAGATTTTTTTTTTATTTAGAAGGTTAGGAAGTGTGTTGCAGTAGTTTAAGCAACAGTAGCCATGTTCTTGTTTGTCAGACATAGCAGATGATAAGTACACGTTTCAAATACTGACGGCATTCTTCGAAAGAATTATAGGCTACCTTTAAAAAGAAATTGTACATTTCTGAATAGTCATGCTGTAATTTCTTAAAATTCCACGTCGCTAGCAGATTATTGGCGCTTAGTATTTCTCTTATCCATCCAAGGCAAAATATCGGACTCACGATCAGTTCTTTACCAAAGGAGGGGAAATAACAGACCCACACCCAAAGCACTGTAAAATTCCCATATTTTTTGCAAGTCGATGAATGCACTTCAATGATGACATTATGGGTCTCCGACCTGCTACTATCCTGAACCTGCCAGCGCACGTGGTTTTATTTCTTAGTGTTAATTCATATCGAGTTTTAAGGATGAACAGTTTTCTTTGTTATGTGTTTTTGATAAATATGCTGCTTTTCGTTTGCCAGTAGCTTTTAAATGATAAACTAAATTTATGAGCCAATATTCAGTCTGCTGACCGGTAAATTAAGTTAATTTTCCTGTAGCTATTGACAAATGAAACTGTATTTGTTTATCAAGTTTTAATGTTATCCAACAGCACGTATTCTGATATATAGCCTTATCAGGCATAATTCCACTGCTGATTTGCTTTGTACACTTGTGTTACTGTAATGTCAGATGTGTGATGAATATTAAGTATACATAGTAAAAGTTGGGATGCTGATTTAGTTTTTTTTTTCATAGCTTGTACTAAGACAGAGCGAGGCAGTGGTCATACATGTAGTAACACTGTAACTCGGTGAAAACCGTTTGGATTTACCTGTATATACTTTTTAAAAGTTATTACTATATCTTAACACAAAATGAATGCTAATATAAGGTGTTGTGTGAGCAAACATGACGAGAAAACTGTATGTAATCATTGTTGTTGATATTTGCAGATGATTAATGCACTGTGTTACTGCCAGAGCAGTGTTTTATAGATAAGTCTTATTTCTTTACTTTGGACGCGCTACTCACTTGTTTGTCGCATCGGTGTTGAGTAACAGTTGTTTTTAGCGCGCTTATGATAATGATGGGATAGAATGTGATTCCACGTGGAATGAGATCGGCTGATATTAGATGCTGAGACAGCCGTAATTACAAGTGTTCTTGTAACAGGAATCTGGCCCATAAGGTTAGCAATTAATTTTTAAGTTATGAAAGTTCATTTAAAGATAATTGCGAGAAGATAAAATTAGTTTTCCATTGTAAACTGCAACTTTGAGTAGCGTTAGAAATGCCGGTCTGATGTACAATGCACAGTACATGTAACACAATCACTGTGCCTTTCAGTATTGGAGTAAAGAAAGTTCAGTAAAGTGTAGTGTATTGTTTAGAAACGAGAATGTAGCTGTACTAGTTGCGAGTTAAAGATTGTTTGTTTTATGTTCATAATCAATGTTATTTTTAAAAGCGTATTTTTTCATTGTGTTAGTTGCGCCAGATGAGATTTACTACACAATCATTTAGAACCCAGTCGCTTGCATTACACTAGAATAGCCCAAAGTCGGTAAGAGTTACTTATATTTTGGAGATAAAGATAGGATAACATGCAACTGTTAAATAAAGATGTTATTTAAGCGACTTAATAGCATTATATAAAAGAACTAGGGCAAGAATATGAGATGATTTTCTTATTTTATTTCAATTATTTTTTCAGTTGAAGGTTTAATAAATCAGTAAAAACGACGCAAAGCTGTTGTTGTTGTGTGTGAGTATTGCAAGTGGCTACACACTGATAAATGTACCCTAGTGTTACAATCTATATAGTAATGGCAGATCAGTCGAAGTCTCATTTTCACGTTATTCTCCCAAACTACATAGGAAAGTGGGAAGATTGAGTCCGTAGTTTGAATTTGATTATAACTGTTAAAAGTATATTTTGAAGGCATTTTTTAGCAATCGGCAATTTCCGTAAAGCTTCGGCATGTGTGACAGGTATCATTTATTGTCAATAACCAGGGGTGGATTGAGGGTTATTTTCTGATAGCCTTTCAATTTATCTTTGTTGATCCATCCTCCATTGTTGACCGTCTTATGACAGAAAAATAGATACCCGTCAGTGTAAACTTAATAACCCAGCCTCAGTCCGCCCCTGATAGTACTATTCAAGACATCAGGATTTGATGGGCCAGTGGAAACTTCCGTGGTTGCCAAACACGGCGGAGTGAGTTCGATTTCCACTTTTTTTTAAAAATCATTGTTATGGTTCAGTGATTAATATGACGGGTATCAGCTAGTGTAGTTCTTAATTTATTATGATAAAGTATTATAATGTTATATTACATGGCATCATGCATAACTTATGTACTAGTACAAATATATTACAAATGTAAATAAAGTATACTTCATATTATTGTTGACAGATGTGTCACTTTCGTTAATTAAATATTATTATTTCTCCTGCTGTTTTATATTGTATGAAAGTTCTGAGATTAAGAAAATAACGTGCTAGCACAAAAGCCACACATAAAAGTCACACCTGATTATTTTTCGAACTAAGATTAGATTAACTTCATTTAGTCTCATAAAGGGATAATAACTCTTCGTATGAGATCTATATTTCACAATAAAAACATTGTGTATAACTCACAGAAATATAATATAATATATTCTGTTTTACCACAAAAACGGCAGTTATAGCTATTATTCTGATATCTGAGCTTGTCTTTAGACCACGTGACCTCCATTGATGGCTATACTCTGTTAAAATCTCTTAAGAGATTTTAAATCTCTCTTAAATCTCTTAAGGATTTTAAATCTCTTAAGAGATTTTAACAAAAAAACAAACTTTTTAGAAAAAAAAAAAAAGAAAAAAAAAAACAGACAGGGACTAACTTTGAATGTAAAAATGGATTCATTAACCATTGGTAAGTATGACAAAATTGTTGTTTACTCCAGGAAAATTAATTTTTTGGCCGAAACGAAGAGTTATTATCCCTTTAAATGTTTCACCTTTTAAAATTTTTACAGCACTAGTCAACAGCCAACACAACATCGCGTAATTAACTGATAAATATCGGAGTGTGTTAATTAAGATCATGTACATGGGTTTAATAAAACTACCGGTACGCGTTTTTATTTCGATTCGCTATTTTAATTTATATGGGGTGCTGTAAAAATGCACATATACGTAAACTCTTTGACCTAGTAATGGAAACACACCCCTTGTATCCCATATCGATCGTAAATTTGCCCTGTTTTAATTAATAAGCACGTAGGCTTCCCGTGTGCCTGTGATGGGTAAATGTATATTATATATATTAACCCACATTGTTTAAATATTGGATGTTTGTTGTTGACGTGAGACCGGTAACAGATCACGATTTTTTCACCAGTTTTAAAGTTTTATTGTAGCTCTCGGGCGTTTAAATATAAACTCTAAATATGTCCTGATCACATACAGCTGATAGCTTCCTTCAGTGAATACATGGTTGATGTACCGACCTCATTTTAGGGCTCACATAACATTAAAGATAAGAGCGGGTAAACTAAATTGACTGAGGTCACTGACAAATGACTAGGGCCATGTCTACGACAGTGTGCGCTATGTATGCAGACTGAGTTAACATGTTATCAGAGAAGAAATGGAGTTCAGATTTTCAATTTTTAAGCATAGGCTAAACTGGCGAGATTCAGCTCAATCTAGGAACAATTACCCACTGTAGGTGTGAATTGTGAAAATGTAAGCTGGTAAAAAGTAAAAAAGAAGAAGTACGTATATGTACGGTTACAACATTCAAACAACAGACGAGCGAGTCAGATGAACTGTGATTAAAATCGTATACAGTAACTGTACACATATATACATTAGGCCACACTTTTTTATTTTTATGGATGACATCCTGCGCGCACACCGATTTTCGTCCGTTCTCCAAAAAAAAGTCTCCCCCCCCCCCAAGGCAGTCGGTTGTCGCAAACGTCGTTATTGAATTTGCCGGAAAATGCAATCGGTAATCCTCGGCTAATTCCGCAAGCTCCATACTGTCATTGTCGACTGCGGAGACATCCGAGTAGTTCCGAGTGCGAAAAATGAGCTTTCTGCGCATGCGTATTATTACCACGTGGAAATATGGCCGCTTTGCCGTCAAATTCATCTCTAGCATCAATTTCAAAATACACACAATTACGACAAATACACACATACACGACAATTAAAGTCCTAAAGAGAACGGGGGCCGTCGTTTTGGATTGGTTTGCCATTGATATTGGACATGGAGATATCACCCTTTTATAATTATACTAAAGGCTGGCCGCGGCCAGCGATCATCGCCCGGAAAATTTCAGTGACATTCTGTCCAAAGCAGCATATACCAGGTTTTTTTGTAGCGAAAAGAGGGTCGACAAGAGCGTCGTGGTATTTGGTGGACTGAAGGTCGGACAGGCCACCCGATAGTTGGCTGCTACGTGTGAGTCGAAGTAGACAAAATGGCATCGACCGAAATT